CTTTTGTCGAGCGAGGTTTCTTTTATTCTTTCTTTTTCCTGCCATTTTTGTTGCTCACCCACTCGCACTCTGCCACTCAACACTCATTGCATACACACTGGTAAACAGACAAGGCCATCCTAAGATGGTGAGATGAAGACGCGTGAGAGTGTGTGTATTATGTGCAGCGCTTGCTATAGCACGCATGTTCGATTTACAGCTCCGACACCCACGTACGCGGAGCACTCGGCAGATGCAGAGGCATCGGCTCAAAGCCGTAGAGTTATACCAAGATTCTGACGGAAGGAAGCACAATGAACACAGAGCAAGCGGCCATATATCTGACAGGGAGAAATGGCCCTCCTTGCTGTGTCCTTTTTTTGAAGTCTTTGCAGGGAAAGGGGGTAGAAATGGGACATCACAGTGGAGGTAACATCCATGCCTTGAGGTTGACCACAGGGTGGGTGTGTGTGTGTGTGTGTGTCCACAGTTGGTTAGGCAGGTGGTGTGTGTGTTGCATAGCTGCAGGCTGCCTTGGCTCAGTCCCTTTCCTTTGTACGCCTGAAAGAGGCCAATTTCCAAGATGAATATGTGAAAGCTTAAGACCCTCGCTACATTTTTGCTTAGCCTTCTCATTTTTTAAAAGTTTTCCCAGGTGCTGACAAAAACGTATAATGCCTACATGATGCCAGTTTTGTCAGTATCTTAACCTTGACTGTGTTTATGCAGACGGTTTCTCTGTGCTGAGATTTGATTGCCACGTGCTGACTGAAAGGACCGTTGATAAACCCAGATAAACATGTGCTGTTCATAGCAATGGACAGTTATATTTTGGCGTGTGTGTTTTTGTAGCTTGCCATCACCAGTGTGTGAATGGGTGGATGACTGGATATGTAAAGCGCTTTGGGGTCCTTAGGGACTAGTAAAGCGCTATATAAATACAGGCCATTTACCATTTTTGCATGCAAATTTACAGCAATGCCGATGACTTCCTGTTCATCGAAAGCAGCGACTCGTTTTGCATGGGGAGGTCAGGTTTAGCAGAAATGGGCACGCTTGTGAACAAGGCCCTGTGGCGGCTGCGTTTGAAGCAGGCTGGGAGATTTATAAGATGAGCAGACTGTGTAAACAAAGCAATGCCTTCGTGTAGGTGTGCGCGCCGGACACAGCAGTGTGTCAAGTCTATCAGGGGTTGTGTCACAAGCTGACATCAGTTGCGTTATGTAAAGGCTTATGAAAGCTATCCTGGCAATGGAATATACAGGTGTAGTGCTTGCTGCCTTTTTAGTTGATGGGGAGCTGTACTGCTTGCGTACTGTTATCATTTCAGCGCCTCTTTGTAATTTGGGTGTTGAGAGCAAGTTTTTGTTGTGTGCTTATTGTCATCGGGTTACCCTCGAGTGAGACTTTGGTTTTTTGGAACAAAGCTCATCGGTTCTGCGAAGAGAGTAGTGTTGGTGTGTGTGTGTGGGCTGTGTAGTGTACCTTGCACTGTTGCGCTGGGACACAATCTCCACTCTTTCTTTTTCGCTCTCTCTCACAGTACCTAGAAGAGAGCTCAGTGTGTGTGCGCGCGCGCGTGTGTGCGCGTGAGCTATTAAAAGGTGACCTCCTTTTTCTAGGTCATTACCAAAAAAGAATGGATGGATTCTAGTTATGAATATCCAAAATTCTTGACAGAGAGGGATGAGAATGGCGAGGCATATTTCTTGCCTCAGGGAGGTTATGAGGGGAGCGAGGGGTGGGGGCGTGTTAGTGGGGAAGAGTTGGTGAGGGCATGGAAATGGCTGTGGCTGACACTAGTACAATTTTTGGGGAGGAAAAAGCGAGGACAGAGGCTTGTAGTGTGTTGTCTGGGGAAAAGAGGGACATGATAGTTAAGGGAACACAGCGGAGGGAGATCTTGTGATGGGGTCACGAGAAATAAATCAGACATTAGGCTGGAGAGTGATCTTCTTGCTCCTTCGGTGAGCCGGTCTGCAGTCATTGCCAATACAGCCCTGTTGCAAAGAATACGCTCTCTGTGTTTGACTTCTTTTGTTAGGCCGACCAGCGTGTAGCTTTCACTGCAGTGCATTGATTCATCCAGGAGAAATGAAGATGGTGCTTTTTGCTTTTTTTTTTTTTTTTTTTTTTTTTTTTTTTTTTTTACAAAACACTGAACTATAAAGCCTGTCTAGTCTGTTATCCTAAATTGGGCATTTTGTTGGATGAAGGAGAGCCATTTTCCCCTTATGGATAAAGACTTTAGATATAAGAAATATATTTTTGAGATTAAGCTGTTTCTTCTCCATTGACAGGAAAGTGATTATCTCTCCCATTCCTTTCACTGTCCTAGGGTGTCAGAACCCCCTGACCTCAGACCATACCCCCTCTCCCGCCCATCCCAAATGTTCTGCTTAACCGAGGCCCTTCTTCTCTGCGGTGAACCAAAATATGAAGAGCACAGAGCGAGCCTGAGGGGCTCGCAGTTATATTTACTGTCTGCTACGAAAGAGAGGAGAGAGAAGGGGCGGATGGGAGGGGTTTAAAAAAGAAGAGGAAAAAAAGAAAACACAGGAACGCAAAAAGAGGGAGACAGAGGAGGGGTTGCTATGGTAACGGAAATATGGCTGCTCTTCAAAAACCTTGAATGTAGGTGGTGGTGAGATGAGTGTAGCCTATGTGTGTTGTTTTTTTTGTTTTGTTTTTTTCCCACGTCTTTCGTCTTTCCCTCTCAGTTCTGCAGATATCATTGATGTGCTGGATCCTGTTTGATATCACTGAGAACTCAAATGCCATCAGCCTGTTTGTTTTTAATATTTATTTATTTTCATGGCCTGAGGGTAAGGTTTTTAGGCAGTATGCAGACCTTAGAGGGCTATTGTGAAATGTAGGTTAGGCCTAACAGACCACCAATCGAGTGGGGTTTTTTTTTTTTTTGTTTTTTTTTTAATTTAATTTTTTTCGGGATATAGAAAGGCTTAAAGTGTTGTTTTTGTTGTCTTTAACTGAAGGAAGAGTATGCGACTCTGACGGTGAAATCAGGGATGTTTTGGTATCAAAAGGTACATTTTATCTTGGCTGTTATGATGTTTGAAATATTGTAATAGTTTTACTTCCAAATATGGAATCAGGAGGGCAGGAAAGAATCACTGAGTGAGTTTCGCCCTTTGCCAAAAGATGACAGCAGGGGTCGTTGTCAGAGGCAGTTCACTGTTAGATGCTGGATATAGTAGGGCAAACTGTCTTAATTGTCTTCATTAAATTAGCTCATATTTCCTTCACTCATCCCTCCCCTTTTTTTTTCCCTAGAAATATTTTTTGAATTGTTTACTTGGCAAACTGTGGAGCAACTTCCTGACACTAGACAAAGAAGCTTTGACATATGTGCACCCCTAATGAGTTTAGTTAATCAGTTTGGAATGTCAGTCAAGGGATTTTATAACAAGTTGACTAAGGACTCGTATGAGCATCCCGTATTAATATAATTTTGAGAAAAACATTGTCTATCCTATTAATTACCTCGAATGTCAAGTAACTAAACAGAAAAACGGACTGCAGCATGTCTGAGTTCATGTTACAGGTTCGGCTCTGGGTCTTGGCAGAAATGAGGGGTCTGATTTTTCAATATGAAAATGGGACAGTTCAGTGGCATCGAATAGGACTGGGTAGTGATATAGATTAACACCTCAGTGACAACAGATGCGATTTTATTCACAATATATTTCCTCTTGTTGTTTTTTACTGTTAAAATCTTTGCGGCTTTCTGTGTGTAACACACTGGTAGTTCATTGCTGTGGCGGTGACACATGAAGAGCGAACCATAACATCTTGTCTTGTGGATTTGGTTTTTGTGGAGCCTTTTTTTTTTTTTTCCTCCCCTGTTATTTCTCACTTCTTGTCTGCCACGTTTATATGAATGTAGACTAAGTAGTAGTGTATACTGTGATGAGTAATTTATAAGCTCTCGTACCCAGCAGCGAGCTCTAATGTGTCCTGGGTCTATCCCCAGGCCATTTCCTGATAGGACCTTACCTCACCTAAGGAAGTGCACATCAGGCATCCCCTTACCCGGCTCATTTCAATGTGGAGGATTAGCAGCTTTAATCTCGGCTCCTCCCGAACAATCAACCTCCTCAACATGTCTCAAAGGGAGAGCAGAGATACTCTTTGGAGGAAGCTGATTTCTGCCACTCGTATCTGCAAGCTGATAGTAATTGGTGAGGGTGGGAACATAGGTTGATCTGTAAATTGACAACTTCATGTCCATGCTCAGCTCTTTCTTCACCACAGTAGATCGGCACCACTTGCATATCATTGCTGATACTATAGCAATACATCAGTTAGTGTCCCGCTGCACAGTCCTCACTCTTACACACGGTCCTAAGTTACTTTAATTCTTCCACTTGGGTAAGAAATTCATCTCGAGTTTAGATTGGGTGGTCCACCCTTTTTCCAGCTGAGAAGCATGGCGTCAGCGGTATAAGTACCAATGTGAACCAGACTCTTAGGACAGATGAACATGGAGGAATTGGTTGGTAACAACAAGCAAGTACCCATACTCCCACAGGACACCTTAAGGGACACAGTTGAATGTTTTCTCGAAGTCCACAGAAGACTTATCAACTTCCACTGCACAAATTTATTGGCAGAGCATTGGCATCGGCTCATTATCCTTAACTGCCATTGGCTATTTTCAAATAAATAGTTGACCTGTCAGTTCTGGATATCTTATGTTCAGGTATGATTGAATTTGTGTTCAGTCAGAGGTAGAGAACTAAAAGGAAAGCTAAGATTTTTGTTTCCTTGGCACATGTGAGACTTTCTCTTACTGTGCTCTTTACCAGTTTGGTGTTGCCATTTTTGGATTATACTAGAGTAGCTTTGCATGATCTAAAGTTCAAACTAATCCCAATTCATCTTTTACTTTGTCTTGATCGAGCCTCGGTCTGCTTACTGTTGCAATTTTGCTTTGATTGGGGACCCTCACGATAGGTGTGACCCACACTGTAACTATGATCCTGTGTCTTTGTGCTCAGGTACAGGAGAAAGTGGCAAGAGCACCTTCATCAAGCAGATGAGGATCATCCATGGAGCTGGATACTCTGATGAAGATAAAAGAGGCTTCATTCGACTTGTTTATCAAAACATCTTCACCTCCATGCAGTCCATGATCCGCGCCACTGAGAACCTCAAGATCCCCTACAAATATGAAGACAACCGGGTAAAGGCTATTGTGGTTTTCTCCTGTTAACTTTTATTATTTTAAAAGAGCTTCCATGCCTCTGTGCAATGAGGATTTTGTAAGATTCCCTAAGAAATCGACTAGTGCAGATTTATTTATATTGCTTTCTTTTATAGGGACGGGTCAGGAATGAAATTTATTAGTTCGTCAAAAGTGAAACTGAAGCAGTGTAGCCCTTTTTTTTTTTTTTTTTTTTTTTTGGACGACATCCTCAGTGCAGATGCCATTTTCTTTCTTCTCAGAGTTTGACCAACTGTCTTTTTTAAAATCTTTCCAAGAAAGAACTTCTGGCACGCAAGAAGTGATGCATTTAGTTTGTCTAGCAGAAACATTATCTTTGGAAAAAGTAGAATAGGTGGGTGGTTGGGATCGGATGTTTGGTCTAAACAGACAGTGGAAAAAATCTGCTGTTTGCAGAAATATCAAAAGTCTACAGCTGAAAACTGAAATGACTGGATAATTCTTGTAGTTTTTAAAAAACATAGATCTATATTTCTGTTTGCTGTGTTGTGGCCATGTATGTCAGATCTTTTGTTACTTACTTCACCTTTTGTCTTCCCAGGCTAATGCTATGCTTGTGAAGGAGGTGGACATTGAGAAGCTCAATAGTTTTGAGCAACCATACATCACAGCTATTAAAACCCTGTGGGCTGATCCAGGAATCCAGGAGGCCTACGACCGTCGCAGAGAATACCAGCTCTCTGACTCCACAAAATAGTACGTCTTTTCACCTCGCTTTGCAGACGATGGTCATGGTATCTGTGTAATGTTTCAGAATGTTATTTATGAGCTGCATGTAATTTTTGTCTGTAATGCTGGTTTGGGAACATTTGTCACCTATTTAACCATTTTATTTTTGGCCTTGTGTAAGATCCATCTTGTTTGGTATCAGTTTTAAATTACTATAATTTAAGTGTAGTCGATGACTGATGTATTTTTTATTTTTTTTAAAATGAAAAATAAGTCTGTTCCCAAACCTGCATTAAAAATGTTGCATTGGTCTCATCTCATGTGAAAATGAAATGAGACCAACCAAGAAACGAGAAATATGATGCGGGGGTGCCTGTGCTTAATTAATGTGAGACTGAGCAGCTGCAATATAAAGAGCTGTTTCACTAAATTCAAGGTCATTGTTTCTCTCTGCGAAGCTAGGTTCAGCCTGACGTAAGTTTAAAAATATATATTTCATGATTTTGGGGGGGAACTGACACTGTGTGTAGCAGGGACACAGTTGTCTTCAGATGTCAAGATGCTAATTTTCAGAGTAATTAAGGTGTGGTTGGATGTGTGGGGTTGGTGTCAGGTTCTGTGTGGGTTTCGGTGTATATGCTGGACAGAGCAGCACATTAGCCTTTTGTCCACTGGAAAATTTGGCTGACAAATTACAAAAATCTCCTGTTTATTTGACAATCTCTCATGAAAATGGCACTATTTAGCTTTTAATTGATATTAGTGTAATTAGTTGTACGAGGAAAAAAAAGACTTGTTATTGGAGAGAGACTGATTTCACTGGCCCATCCAACTAAATAAGAATAAACACTGAAACCACTATGGAGCCCCTTATTTTACCCTGAGCTTGAGCTTCATGCAGTCATCAGTGAAAACACACTAAAGTAAGTCTTACAGTAGCTTCCAATTTCTGTGTCCAGATTGGCTAGAAACGGTGCCATTTGTCTTTAGAGAAAAGATGCACTGCTAGTAATTGTTTAAAAAAAAAAAAAGAACTTGGTAAGGTGTACACCCTTTGTGTCACAATACATGACTCCAGGGTGCAAAGCCAAAGGCCATCGCTCACTCTTTAGTGCCCCCTGGTTGTGCTTGCTCTGTACTGCAGGTCAAGTTTGTGTGCATGCAGATGCGTTTGCAGTTTGACATCAAATATGTAAGGTTTGTATTTGTTTAAGCATGCGTATGACAGAATGAAATGCAAGTAAATCATTGAATGATGTCTTCAGTTCAGTGTTATCCACACTGTTCGTGTATATCTCCAGTTACCTTAGTGATATAGACCGTGTGACTGCGGAGGGTTATGTTCCCACCCAGCAAGATGTACTGAGGGTCCGTGTTCCCACCACGGGTATAATAGAGTACCCGTTTGACCTGGAGAACGTCATCTTCAGGTACTCCCTCAAGGCACCAGGACTGCAGCGTCACCATGACTAGAGGACACAAACCACTGATGACTGTCAGTGTAAAAGAAGTAGCTCAGAATCATTTATTTCCAAAAAAAAGATTAAAGTTGGGACAAACAATACTAACATGAGTAGATTGCTTTGTCCTATGAGGCTATCAGTGGTTTGTGTGTAGCATCGTCTTCTAGTTCTGGCCCCAAGGGGAAAGGAGAACCTAAGGCCAGACATGTTGCACTGAAGGGAGCAGCAACAAAGTACAGATAAAGAAGGATTAGGCAGAGATGTCAAAGATTCTCCAGGAATTTGTCATGAAATATTAGACAATTGGATGCACATTGAAAGGCAGAAGAATTTAACCTTTAAAGAAACAAAGGGGAATATGTTTCCCGTTGTCCTTGATGTCAGACTTGTCCAATCCTTGTTTATCTGATACAGGTGCTGCTGTTTCCGCTGCTAAAGTCACTGCTGCTGTCACCGATGCCACCTACACTGTCTGCACCACCATATTCCACAAATGTCTTGACCTCAGTGTCCATGGTCAGTTAAAGATAAACTGCTAATGTCAAAGCTCTGGGAATAGTGTTGGTGGAGCAGTGGCACTAACACCTTTTTGTTTCTGTGATGCGGCCTTTTCTGTGAGTCTTCTTCAACAGGACTGATCCACACTTTCCTGGAATGGCTGTGGTGTTGCGGTAATTGCCTGCCACGCTTTATATAACTGTTTTCCTGTCTCTCCCCTCCCTCCCTCTTTTTTTTTTTTTTTTTTTTTTTTTTTTTATATTCCTTTTTCCTGACTGGCTCGTTTGTAGTTATCTTTCGGATCTGGATCGTATTTCAGATTCCAACTATCTTCCCACACAGCAGGATGTACTCAGGGTGCGCATCCCCACTACAGGAATCATAGAGTACCCCTTCGACTTGCAAAGCATCATTTTCAGGTAGAAAGATGGCTGTTTTGGCTGCGTCCATTCATGTTTTGTCGTGACGTCATTAACTCATTTGATGTTTTATTTTTATTTTTCTTCTCCCCCAAGTCCCAAATAAACCATCTATTTTTTTCCTCACAATGACTGAAAATAACTCAACACTTTTGATTTATCAATGCAGGTTCTTTGTCTGTATCCCATCCCATACTCTCTTCAATCATTAAAAAGTAGAAGTTGTCATCTTTTTACAGTCTCCCATAGTTACGTACCTACCTGGCGCTATGAACAGCAGTCACATGCACACAAATCACAGTCCCCTAATGAAACAAAGTCCTACATTTTGGTGCCCGGTCTCTGTAAATGGGTCACCTCCTCTATTCCTCTTCCTCTCCGGCTGGCAGAAGAAACGAGGTCGTCCTCTCCGCGGTGGAGGAATGTTATTTCGGGCAGCAGGTCCTGCAGGGCCTATATTGGCCCTGGGTCTCTGTGGACCACTGTGGACTGGGCCACCACCAGGGGGCACCAGTGAGCTGTGACTTTAAGCTTATTTGTACGACTGCTCTGAAGGCAAGTACCTGTGCATCCAGAGGTGCTTGAAAATACTCTGATATAAATTGGAGAGATGCCATTTATCTGCTGTTTCATCAGGCAAATGTTCTTGACTTCAAAGATTTAATTAAATCAATTGTCACAAAGGGGCTTAATGAAACTGGGACCTACAGTCCCAGATGAGTGAAGGCTGACCTTGTCAAGGAGAAGCTCAAGAAACCTGAAACCACATGAGGACTCAGAGTATCTCTTAGGTTTAATCTTGACTCTAAATGCTATGCCTATGACTGGCTTCAGACTTTTTTTTTTTTTTTAAATTTTGGCTTACCTACTGCCAGCACATGTGCTGAAATCAAACTGAAATGCAAATTTTTTTTATTTTGTAAATTGCCTTCCATATCTTTGCTTCCAACACGCTCTCGGCTCTGCCTCCTGTCCTCTGTCACGCCCCCCTCCCCAGCTCTTGTTTTATCCTGTCTTATGTCTCTCTGGTGTCCTTTTTGTCTTTAACTGTGCTTCAAAGCATTTACAACTGTTATGTTCTACTCTATCGCACACACTGGGGAAGGGTGAGAAAGCTTTGTAGTAGTGAAAAATGTGTTATGAGCTTCTATTTTCAACATGACACACAAACAGAAGTACAGACTAATCTGTTATCAACTAAAACAGTTAACTGTTGCTAGGGCCATAAAGAGTTTCAGGTGAATATGCCACAATACGCTACTAACTATATGAGACTACTGAACAGTTAAAATTCACCTATGCACCCACCTGTGCATGTTAGTGGTCTATAATACCTGTTACATACTGGGTGGGGTTAGCAATACTGAGGAGGCAACAATTTCTTGTATGGACATAACTGGAATGACTGTTTTTGTAGTTTCTTTGGTTCATGTTTGTAACTTGGGCATTTAGCAAACAATAAAAGTAACACAACTTCCTAAGTTCCTTCCTGTTTCTATTGTCTGTCTTAAATGGAAAGCTTGCCTGGTGGCGTGCATGACTCACACACAACAAAAACACGTGCACGCTCCACATCTGTGTCTGTGTGTGGGTTTTTGGGGTTTTTTTGTTTTTCCTGTATAGAGAGATCTGTACACTGATACACTTGAAAGTATTTCAAAGAAGATGTTGAATCCATCAGGGTTCTTGTTTCAGCAACTTTAAAATGAAGTTAATAGGACCAAATCTTTTAACAAATGGTCAGGACCCAGAATAAATGTTGGGCCTATTTCTGCTGTCTCTTAAAAATGACAGTGAAAATATGCTTTGATGGGTCCCTGGATGAAAGGCTGAATCTTTTATGTAGGTCATATGCAGAAAATGTTTAAGGGGGATGTACTCCAGTGAGAGAGTTCTTCTGTTACGCAAAATGGAATGAAACAGAAGTGTATCTTGTTGAAAAGGCCAGGTTATTAAGTTGTGTATTAGTAATTCATAGAATATGCAAGATTTACGCTTGTGTGAGTTCACTAAATGCGTCTTGATGGATTCAAAATCTTTGCAGAATCTGTAAGAATAAGCTTCTCAAGCCTTGCTAGAGTGCGAGGACTCTTGAGAGCTTAAACTTTTGTTTAACACTAAGCACTCTTTTAGTTCCATTAATCACTTACCATAAACTAGGCCACCCAAACTTGCATGCTAATTTATTTTTCCCCCCTTCTTTTTTTCACTTTTTATCCTCCTTCGCCTTCATCCTGCCATCAGGATGGTAGATGTAGGGGGCCAGAGGTCAGAGAGGAGGAAGTGGATTCACTGCTTTGAGAATGTCACTTCCATTATGTTTCTTGTGGCGCTGAGTGAGTATGATCAGGTCCTGGTGGAGTCAGACAATGAGGTAAGTGCGACAAATGGTTTGTATTTAGAGTATTCTGGATATTTTAGTCTGAAGATGACTTCAATATTGACGCCAAATTAACATTCTGTTTCTGCTCAACACTGTTCTCATCAGAACCGCATGGAAGAGAGTAAGGCTCTGTTCAGGACTATCATTACCTACCCCTGGTTTCAAAACTCCTCTGTCATCCTCTTCCTTAATAAGAAAGACCTGCTAGAGGAGAAGATCACCTACTCGCACTTGGTGGACTACTTTCCCGAGTTTGATGGTGAGATCATCTACGTGTTTGTGTTGAGTGATTGACACATGCGTTTGGTTCCTGCTAGAAATCAGACTTGTCACAATATCATCGCTTTCGATTGATATTCAGATGAGGGATTTAAAGATGTGCACTGTGTTGGTTATTCTGTCAAAGACATGGATGATAGCAGTGTTAATAAAGTGATAAGCATCATATGTGCCAGTGTGATGTTAGTAAAACTGGGTTTGACTCAGCTGAGCTAATCAACAAATCAGTTTGAAGCAACTTTTCCTTAGTGTGGACCAAAGTTGTGAAGGTGACTTGAAGTACAATGCACACTCGCACATCCTCACCCATTTCTGCATTTTAGGTCCCCAGAGAGATGCACAGGCGGCGCGGGAGTTCATCCTCAAGATGTTTGTGGATTTAAACCCAGACAGCGACAAGATCATCTACTCTCACTTCACTTGTGCCACGGACACTGAGAACATCCGCTTTGTGTTTGCAGCTGTCAAAGACACCATCCTACAGCTCAATCTCAAAGAGTACAACCTGGTGTGAGGGCTCAAATGCGACGCACATCTCCTCCCCCACTGCACAAATGCACACCTCTTTGGGAATGTGCCGTCAGCTCCACATGCATTACACAGCACATCACTCCAGCTCACATACACAAACACACACAGCCGCAGATGTGCTCGCATGCACGCACACAATCCCTCCCCCAACAGAACCGTTTTTTTTGTTTGTTTTTTTTCTCCCCCTTTCTCCCAGTACAGTGAACCCACAGATCCTCCCACCTGCAGACGTTGCCCCTCTTCTTTCACCAAAGCCTCTTCCTCCTCCTCTCGGCAGCTTGCTGTGTTAGTCTTCAGTCCTCCCAAAGCTGCTCTGTGTGTGTGGGTGTGGATTTGGCCCCGGCTGCTGGCTCTGGCACACAAACCTTTCACACGAGCTATACAGTGACTGGAGGGGATTTTGGTGTGAGTGCGTGTGTGTGTTTGTGTATTGGGGGCATCATTGATTAGAGAGGATCTGTGTTTCGGTGAATAGCGGCATCATACCCCCTGGCCCTTCGGAGTTTACCTTCAGCAGTGCGAGAGCAGATTCTCCGTCGTCTCCTTTCCACGCTCCTGCCAGTGTGGAATTAACAGAGTTCCATATTTTCTGACACAATCCGAGGACCTGAGAGATACTTCAGAGCGACTCGGTGGGGGACGGGACTGAGGATTCTGTCTCCATCTTGCGTCTATGAATGTACCCACCAGTGTGAGCATCGCAATCACAAAAAATAGAAAAAAATATATATTATGAAGTAAATGCATATGTAAACACTTAAAACATGAAGGGGGGAGGAGGGAGGGGAGCAGGAGATGGCTAATCAAAATCTGTTAATTGCTGAGATTTGTAAAAAAACAAACAAACACTTTTTAATGTATTTAACAAGTATGATTAAATGGAGTGGTTGTAAGAAAATTTTGCAAGGCGACAAAAATTTAAAGAAGCAACCAGAAATTTACATGACAATAGGTGTCCTTTTAAGATCTTTTTCTTTTTTATGTTTAAGTTGATCACATGCTTCCCTCCTCCAGATGTTATCTATATGGATTCACAGGAACAATCTTCCAAAGTATCATCAGTGAATCTGGCTCCACTGGTACCCATCCAATGCCCCATTATGAGACACTAAGTAGCGGGTGAGAGGACAGCTGCTTTCAATGAGGCTCTGCTCTGATTGGTGGAAGCGGATGCGGAGGGGAGCTGATGTCATCAGTGTTCAGAGCACATCTGCAGCTCGGGCTGCGAGTAGCTTAATTCCACAAAAACAAAAAAAGCTGCAGTGCCCGCACTCTAAGGCACGAGTAGAATCCATGCGGTAACATCTGATGACATCACTCAGCCGTCCAATCAGACACACTTCCTATAATGGGAGGTGCTTCTGTTTACTTTCCTTAATTTGTTTTTTTTTAAACTGTATAGTCACTTTGTTTATAAAAAGAAAAAAAAAAGATTGCTTAATGTTGAGTGATTTAGAGGAAGGGGTGGTTATGAACCTTTCACAGAAAACACACTAAAGTCTGCAAATGTTTGTGTATATCTGTTTGTAAATACATATACACAAAACACTCCTGTACAGAAACGCTCTGTGGTACACCATCTTTGGCCAAAAAAAAAACAAACGTACAAAAAAAGTATTCACATACATATTTTTCTTTTGTGTTTTTCCTATGAATTTATGGTAGTATTGATACTGTGATTATGGATTTTTGTTCACTTGATTAATAGGACTACACGCAGCTGATTGGTGTTTAGGAAACAAGCGGCAAGGGCGCAAGAAAGGGGGATTTACTCCCAACCAGCCTCAGAACACCTCACTACTCCATTAGCTCTGTCTCTAGAGTTATTCTAACTAGGGCTGGTTTAAAAAAGAATCTTCACAGTATGGGGACAAGATCATTTTAAAAGTAATTAAAGATTTTTTTTTTTAATTTATTTAATTTATGGACCAGGTTTGAAGGTGTTGATAATTTGACTGCTTTCGATTTTGTTGAGTTTGTTTTTCCTCTCCGCCTAACTTGAGTCTGAACTGCTGTAAAAATGAATGTCTGGTAGTGTAAGGATCTTATTTCTGCTTTCTCTTTCTTATTGAGACCTTTCCAGTTGTACTTGCGATGACATCTCCATTCATGATGAACCTGTTTTTCTTTAGGAGCCCTCACATTTTCATTTTTTATTTTAAGAAATTCATATTTTTCTGTTTATAGATGCAGTGCTGTAATGAATACCTAAGAAAATGTACAGTGTGAACATAGTTGGATTTTTTTTTTTCTTCTTTTTTTTGGGGGGGGGCGGGACGGGTCTGGCTCGTGAGTAGTGCCAGTGAAGTATGGATATACTTCCTTTTTTTTTTTTTTTTTTTTTTTCTCTCTCCTTCCAGTGTCTTTGACCTTTTCTACAGGTGACTTACCCTTCATCCTCATTAAGGGCTATCACAGTGCATAAGGCATCAGACAGTGGGGAGTGGAGTACAGGACCACAGTGAACCAAGTCATCCAATACTAATGTGTTTATAAATGGAGATTACTTGCAGTATGTGCTTTAAGAAGTATAGGCAGGGTGTTTGTGTGTGTAGAGAGTTTACCACCACTAAGCAGTTTTCTTAATGCATTTAAGTATCGGGCCCTACGGCCAACCTGATCTTCACTACGTTTTGTTTGCATTGGTATCACAGAGTTACCTGTGACACCCTGTGCAGTATAGAAACACTTATCAGTAAAGACACTACTACCAGGACAAGTATTGTGTGTTTTCCAGAGTATTTGAGCTATAGATGATAGCCAGGAATTTATTTTTAATTTTTTGTGTGTGTGTGTGTGTGTGTGTGTGTGTGTGTGTGTGTGTGTGCGCGCGCATATTTTCACCTGTCCACATTTAGACGTTGATTTTCTAGGCAGCCATTACTGTCAGCTGAAGCCAGTAGAGGGGTCTGATTTGCTCCAAATTCGGCCTTTCTTTGCGTAGAAGTTGTTGTTGTTGTCGTGTGATAGCTACCTCTTAAATCATGGACTTGGGCACATAAACTTGGGCAACTTTTCCGCATTGTCAGACTCTGCTGCGTTATCATGTAATTACATAGACAACACTAAATATTCCCTGAGAAGTGGGAACTTTTTTTCTAAAGCCCCTTAACATTTAAGTTTCTTGAAATCCTCATCCACTATCCAAGAGCAGAGGTCTGTGGAAATTTACAGTTTCTCTGAAGTGACTTGTTTGTTTTCTTTTTCTTTTTTCTTTTAAATGAGCGGAAACCAAAGGCTACACAAGTCAGTAGTTCAACTTAAAATGTAGGTATGCTTCAAAAGTGCTAAGTGGTGAAATAATGTCTGAACATTAATGTATACATATATATTTAAAGAAAAAACAACACCAGTGTGGTTCTTAATGGCCATTTCTGTCTGCTGAAAATGACCCTGCTTTTGTGGTGACAGCCAATTATTTGGTCTGCTGTCTTAAGGAGGAAATGAAGTGGGATGACTAAATCTGTATAAATCCCCAAGTATTTATCAGTAGTTGTGTTATTATTTACTGTGTGTGGAGTGCAGCTCGCTTTATTGGTGACGAACCATTTCGAACTTGACTCTTCAACTCTGGCACATGGTGAAGGGCCACGTGGCGTGGGTTTGTTAGCAGGCCAGCGTTGCACAGCATGTTATTTTTGTGACACATTTTTGTCTCAACATATGAGCGGGAAAGGGGGAGGGCAGTTGTTATGATAAATAATTATCCTGTCTTTAGCATTAACTTGTTAAAACAAAAAAAAGGACTGTTTTCACTACAACACTTATTTATTGCCTTTCATTGCCTTGACTAACAAGAGATGGTAAACCTGGCCCTGTGCGGTTTTCCTTTTGCCACGTTTGGGCGATCAGGGTTGTGTGGCGCCCCCTTCCCATGGGCTCGTTGTTGGACTAAGGGGCATCAAACGTATCTTTTGGACATCAGTGTAAAGTTGGTGCATACTCAAATATTTCCCCCTCCCCTTTTTTTTTTTTTTTTTTTTTTTTTTTTTTTTTTTGGTGATTTATTTATTTTTTCTTCCTCTTTCTCTGTATGATAAGACATTACCAGAACACTATTTTAGGACCACTTGATTTAATTTCCCTCACTCAAGTGAAACCCGAAGGTCAATTGTGTAGTGGTGTGTGTATAAAATGCTGTTTTGTTTGTTTTCTTTCTCTTTATTTTGTATGTAAACCAAATGTAAATTATGTATTATACTGAGTGTGCCAACCCCACTCTCTCTAGAGCCAGGCTCTCTCTCCAAGTGCCAACGCTGTGGTCATTTATCAAAAGGGCCACCACCCGAGATGGTCCCCCTTTTTAAATAAAACACACCAGAGACTAAAAGGATCCATGATTTAAGTACACACGAGGACTTTATTCTGTATTTAAGATCGAAGATTTAGGAGATAATCTGCTGTTTTCTAAGAAACTGTAATTATAATTGCATGTGCTGTTTATTTTGTGTTGGAAGTGAGGGCTTGGATGTTTTCACTGAAGCAGAGCCCTTTTACGAAGGGGTTTCAGTCAGTTGGTTATTATCAATTTATTGATTTACATAACTCTTGCCATATTTTTTTTTTTTTTTTTTTGTGTTTCATGTATTTGTTTCAACCACTGTTGCCTGATCCTCATTCAAACATGAACATGACTTATGATCATTGCCGCCTTCTAAGAGAGAAACATAATGACAAGGTATCTGTTTTAAATTGAAATAAATTTGTTCCTATACTTGCTGATGATGTGTTGCGTGGGTTTTATATCTTCAGTTGAATAAAAATCGAATTCTGATTGGTAATGTCAAGTTGATGATTAAAGCCGGGGTAGTCTGTATTTATTTGAGATCTGAAAGAGCATGACCTGGATTCATTTTTCTTCCTTACTTAATTTTTGGGGGCATATTAGGCTTTGTTAGACAAGACTATGTAGGTTAAATGGGATCGTGAGAAGGTGAGTGTCACAAACTTGAACCCAGATTATTACTCAGGATTATAGGTACATGGGTTTCCTGCCTGGGGTCTTTGACCAGTCACAGGTTTTTAGGGACTGTACATCCCTAGAAGACGATGATGATGATGATGATAAAGAAGATAGATGTTCAGCCTGATTCAAATGAAGACTTCCCTGTAGGAAAACCATCCCAATGTTAACATGTAGGGTTTAGAAGAGCAAACCCATGTCATGCTTGGAAAAGCCTTTAAGCAATGTGTTTTTACCACAACTACTGCAGGTCAGCTGATTAATATTTTCCTCGTGATGTGCAAGTGTGTTACTGTGGCAGCAAAGTGGCTTTGTCACATGTAACTAATAATGTAACATTCTAACAGTGACCGCTGAGTTAAATCAGTCAGCCTGATGTTACAGTAATGTTGTGGCTTTAGTTGCCTACAAATTTTCAGGAGAAAAAAAAAGCAAAACATAACTTAGTACTTGGTGGAAAAACCCTTGTTGACAAGTACCGCGGTAAGACTTTTCTTGTAGCTGTTCACCAGGTTTGCACACATGTCAGGTGAGAGCTCTTCCTCCAAACACCCAAGAGAGATGTGTGCAAACCTGAGAGACTTTACTAAAACTCTAAATCCTTTAGCTTTCTTAGCTGCTGTAAGGCAACTTGATGCTTCAACTCTCTCTACAGATTTTCTATACGATTTAAGTCTGGAACCTGTACAGTGTAGTAGCAGAAATCCCAGTTTAGATGTCTTCATTTATTCTTTAGGATGAAAATGAACATTTTATGTTGGACAGTGAAATGACCACATTCACTTTTTTTTTCTAGATTTTAAAACCTTTGTGGTTTCTTTTTTTCTTTTTTTTTTTTAAACCTTCCTATGTCATATTCTGATTTCACTGTAAGATGCCAAAAGCTGTTCAGCGTAATATTAAGGAAGTCTGTGCACAGTGGAAGGCCGCATTCCTAACCTCCAGAGGGACTGTCCATGCAGCCATAGAACTTGTGTTAAAATCCTGAGGACCAATGGGAGGAAGGTTGGATAAATGGGATTCCACCTGTAGTCGCAGTAAAGCTGCTGCAGATATAAACCAAAGGCTTCATTCCATCTTCAGAAAAACATTTAGCCTTTTTTTAAATACAGTTATGTCCTTAGGTATTTGAACAGTGGCAGATGTTTTGTAATTTTGCCCCTGTACACCACCAACGAAGTGGATCATACAGTCAAGATGTGATTAAAGTGGAAACTTTCAACTTTAACTCAAGACACTCGGTAAAACTGTTTAGGAATACAGACATTTTTATTCATAGGCCATAGGCCGTAGCATTACACATAGCTCTCCTCAGTAAGGATGTTTTTCTAGTACAAAGTCCAAATATGTACATGTTCTAATTAAACGGCTAGTCGTCCGAATGTCAGCATCACACCCACTACCAGGTGGTATGCGCATGTTTAAGCTTCCCAAAAAAACAGACCCAAATCAAATCACATCCACATCAGGGGGAATCCTGCAGGGTCAGTGCTGCGTATCATCAGCAGAAGTAGGTCAGTCACAAAGATCCAAAAAGTCAGTTATGTTGTTTTATTACACATTCATAATTGCACAATGTTTTAGCATAATTCAACAATGGCATCCTTTAAAAGTTTCCAAGAATGAAATCAGACCACTGTAGTATGAAATATGAAACTGAGCAAAAACTCTGGAACAACATTTGTCTGTCAAGGCTGGGCAATGATGTCAATTTCAGTAATTTCTAATTTAACAATTTCACCTTGTGTAGAGATTGGCGCCCCCAAGTGGTAAGCTGTTTCTGCCTGCTACTTACTTCCTACTCACAGCCTGTCACAAAAACACAATTTGTTCATATTCCTTTAGTTGAATGAAGCATGCCAGAAATGTCACAGTGTGACATGTATATATCCTCGTAGGAGTTAGATGGGATCAAGACTTTGCATAGTACTGTACATTTTGCAGATGAAATAAAAAACAACTTTGTAGATGCTAAATTTCAGCACAAATGTTTCTTTAAAAAATAATTTAATTTAAAAAATCTATTGACACAAACCTAGACAAATTGTGACTTTTTGGGAGCCCTTTTAGTAATTCAGTCCCGGGTCTAAGACCTTATTTTCCGGCCCCAGCCCCCCTGTCTCCGGCCCTGGCTGCAGCCACGAGCCGATCAGTTCAGCTCTGTGTCACACGGGGCGCCCGCTCCTCCACGGCTCACTTTGTTTTCCGCGTGATGCTGCTCTTCTCTTCAAAGCCGAGGAAAGTCAGGGGCTCATGTGTCAACATCCAGGGTTTCCCCGGGGAGGAATAGCATTAGCGTTATTCCAAATAAAGAAAAGCAAAACAAAACTCAAAAACGCCTGATGTTGCTTTGAAGAACCTTTTATTTTTGTTAACAAATTACTCCTCGGAAGTATCGGGGTTTTTTTTTACTTCAAAGACTAGAAGACGACCTAAGGCTCCTGCTGCTTTGACGTTAGCTAACGTTATTTTAAAGGATGACAGAGTACAAAGTGCGAATAGCGTCTCCAGTCATTTAATAACATCTGGGGAAACGTTAGCTTAGCCAGCTAGCCTGGTAGTTCGATTAGACAGAGGAAAGGCGGCGAAACACACTGCTGACATGATGTTTCCTCAATCGAGGCACTCGGTAAGTTGGCCGGTTGAACTTCTCCCCGGGTGGAAACTGAGCTAACGCTAGCTAGCAACACACAGCTGATACATATCGCTGCTTCCTGCAGGTAGCTGTCATCGTCACAGTGCAGGCACTGTGGCAGCTTAGCTCTTTACCTCGAACAAACGGCGAGCTATACGGCTCACTTATGTGCAGACACAGTCTATCGTTAGCTAGCTTCTCTTAAGACCGAGAAAGTTGGAGTGATGTTGTGCGTTGTTTAGACGGTTTTAACACCCCTTTTGCTACTTGCAGCAAACCACAACGCACATTTAAGCATGCATTCATTTTGAGAAAATATACTTTAAATGTTGCGAAAATAGGGCAGGTTTTTACTGAACATTTGTTAACTATTATAGGACTTTGTTTATTGGCGACTTTGGGGAATTAACACTTTAATTTAAAACGATCAATTGCTAGTATTAGTATAATAATGTGTAACAATAAGTGCATAAATGTGTGAGTACATAAAAGTGTGATTATTTACAAATGTACTGATTATTTTCTAGATCAAATGGCACATTACTTGTTGTGCAGAGTCAGACTCTTACAAAAAATATGTCCCACCTGACCCTCCTCAGGATCAGCTGATTTTGTGTGCCTGTGTTTGTTCAATAACCTCAATTGAAGCCATGGAAAATCTTACTTTCATACTCGATATTTTCTGAGTTAAATCCCCTGAAGTGCGTACAGATTGGTTGAAATAAGTTATAATTTTTAAGGCACTTTTAAGCCCCCATAACGTCTGAAGTACATGAAAGCTGAAATGCTGAAAAGAATGTATAGCCATTGTCCACATGAGCAACATTATTGCGTAAACAGCAGCAATGTTAAAGGTATCACTGATCAGTATGTGACCACTGCCTATTATGATGCACAGTTTTAGATATGAAAAGAAGAGAATGAAGATATTCATCTAGACATTCTGTGCCAGTCATTGTCCTGGCCCTGTAGAAATGACAAGTATCCGATACTAAGATCTTCAGTCATTGCTGTTGTTCACAGTCTGATGATAGAAGCAGGTCGACAGATAAGGGCTTGGCATTATGAAGAAGAGAAATTCTTAGAGAAGCAATGAAGGCTCCAAAGCTTCTGAGTACTTCAGAGGTTCTCAGGGCTCGAATGCTCCTATGTACTTTGATATTGTACATGTACACGATTGTCTGAAAATATTCATAGTATGAATGTAAAATTATGCACCAATTCATTAAATATGCTTAAGTTACTGTAAAAAAAATCAGGTAGGAGCAGATTTTATGTAAAAACAAAGATACTGGAGAAACTCAAACCAGAGTGTGCCTGGCATTTTTGTTTAAACAAAATCTAAATTCAGTTAGTTTCAAATCATTTTAGTCAACTATATTTTTAATGGTATATTAAATGTAGACAGATGTATCTACTTTCACTAATAGTTAGCAATAGCTATTAGTGAATGTGAAACAAGTACAAATTAAGAAAGCTGGCATACAGCCTCATATATGTTTATATGCCAAGTTCTGTTCAAAAAAAGAACATGTGCATGATTGTTGGCTAGTTTCAACATGTGACTGCTCTTTGCTGTTCCTCTTTCTGAGGGGGGTGGGCTGTGTCATATGTCTTTCCTCTCTGAACGTGACCATGGAACAACTTGCATGCTGTGCTTCTGTTTTACTTCTCCAGACCCGCCTAGCGATTCCTTCAATTACCGTTACGCATTCTCATACGTTTGGAGCTTTTCCATTTTTTGTCAAATTCAAAAACATGTAGCTCAATCAGTGAATTGACTTATTGTTTTATGCCTACAGGTTGAGCTAATGCTGATCGTTTCATTGCTACTGCAGGTTCACCCATTTCCGATCTAGCCAGTTTCATCACTTCTTTTTTGCACACCTGAAACTGGTCGCATTCGTGCAGAGTTGTGATTTCTGTGATCTCCATGTAACCGGCTGCATCGGGCCTCTCTCTTCAATCCCATAATCCGGCTGGAAACCTCTTGCTCTTGTGCCACTTATTTAGAGAGTAATGAGGTTTAAAGAACCAGATAAACCATGGATTACAGCTTTGGACTGTTGGTTTAAGTGTAGTCTATACATAACCGGACTTCTAATGCAGCCTCTAAATACCTCTCACATATGGTCAGCATGGACACACTTCTGTAAACACATTTCCTCAATCAACACACTTTGTGGCTCAGACAGATGTTTCATATCCGTACCTTTAAGACAGCTGTGACTGTCTGTAGACAATTCACAGTTGTGTGCTGTTAATCAAACACCCAGCTACTTTCTTTATCTCATTTTATGATGTGCACACAGACATGTGTACATCGTAGGACGCATGTCTGTGTGTACATGGTACGGCTGAGTCTGAGCTTTCTTTTAGCTATCCTCTCAAAGGGTTAATCTGCAAGGTCAAACTGCTGCTTTCAAACAAACCTAAACAAACCTTCATTAAAACACACATGCTCTGCAGCAGGGAGCTCTCATATGTTCATGTAAAGGATGATGATTTTTCTTAGAATTTCTAAGTCGCCTTCTCGAAGCTGAAAATCAACCAGACACCTTCTTGTGTTTCTTAGGCATCCTCTCAGTCCAGCCAACCTCTCAAGTTCACCACCTCTGATTCCTGTGACCGCATCAAGGACGAGTTCCAGTTCCTCCAAGCACAGTACCACAGGTATTCATTTAACACATCCATACACACCTAATTTAATCTCTAATATAAGTCACACACTTTCTTCCTGCAGTGTTTTGTTGTTACTGTCTTTTGTGAAATGGCCTCATTTAAGGCAGCTAATTATTCAGAAATGGACTTCATAATGTCAGTCAGCTTTTAGTGAACTTACTTTCTTCACTCAAATGATCCTCAAAGTCATTTTTGTCATTTTATAGGCATGCTTCTGTTTTCAGAACCGCTGCCCCTTCTAGATTTTGGTGAAACAACATGAATTTGTCCTAGATATGGGTATCCGGTAAATAAATATATTTAAGGAATGTTCATTTTATTATTGTAAGGTTATTTAAACAAATGGTTTCATATTACAGTAAATGCTGAATGCCCTTTTTTTGCTGAAAAGTAGATGAGAGGATTGATATAATTCTCATGTCTGTATTCTAAACATGAAGCTTAAGCCAGCAGGCTGTCAGCTTAGCTCAGAGTAAACAAGACAAGTTGTGGAATTAGTATAATTCCCCCAAAGTGCAGTTATCCCCAAACAGGATGAATACATACATTTTGCTTTCGAGCTGCTCTTTCTCATATTATATTTCTACACTTCTTACCCAGTTTGAAGCTGGAGTGCGATAAGCTGGCTTCTGAAAAGTCAGAGATGCAGCGTCACTATATCATGGTAAGTGTGGTAACTCATTTCTGTGGTATGCTGCATATTTAGTTTTTAAATCTCCCACCACAGTCTCATAGTGTCGCAATAGATATGCAGAAATCCTCAGGTTTACTCACTGCATGATGAGGCACAGATAAAAAATGACTACACATCTCAAAATAGAGTATAAAATGCATACATGAAAGAGAGAGTAATTAATCAAAAAGGGTTGTTGTGTGTGCGCGTGTGTCTTTGTGTAGGCGTGTTCTAAATCTTTTACTTGTCATCCTCTGTGCACTGTAGTACTATGAAATGTCCTACGGGCTGAACATTGAAATGCACAAACAGGTAATCATCGTCTTCATTCATCCATCCGTCTAGTAACCCGGCTTTCTTTGTGTGTTGGTCTGACCATTTTTGTTTTTCTTCTTTTGTAGGCTGAAATAGTGAAGAGACTAAATGGGATCTGTGCTCAGGTGCTGCCTTACCTGTCACAGGAGGTAATGATTCACCTTTTACTTAAACTTTACACCCACTGGCCCTTTTATTTTGGTACACGTTGAGAGTACCAGATTGGACCCATCTGGAAACAGTCTGGTCATTCTTCTCTGGCATCAACAAGGCATTTTGGCCCAGAGAACTGCTGCTCACTAGATATTTTCTCTTTTTCCCACCATTCTCCGTAAACCCTAGAGACGATTGTTTGGGAGAATCCCAGTAGATCAGCAGTTTTTGAAATACTCAGACCGACAATCACGACTTAAGTCGCCTTTTTTCCTCTAAATGATGCTCAGTTTGAACTCGAGCAGGTTGTCTTGGTCATGTCTACATAACTAAATGCCCAATGCTGCCTTGTGATTGGCTGTGTTAGCAAGCAGTTGAACTAGTGTGTGGAACAAATGGTAAATGGCCTGTATTTATATAGCGTTTTACTAGTCCCTAAGGACCCCAAAGCACTTTACATATCCAGTCATCCACCCATTCACACACATTCACACACTGGTGATGGCAAGCTACATTGTAGCCACAGCCACCCTGGGGCGCACTGACAGAGGCGAGGCTGCCGGACACTGGCGCCACCGGGCCCTCTGACCACCACCAGTAGGCAACGGGTGAAGTGTCTTGCCCAAGGACACAACGACCGAGACTGTCCAAGCCGGGGCTCGAACCGGCAACCTTCCGATTACAAGGCGAACTCCCAACTCTTGAGCCACAATCGCCCAAAGTGGTCGATGAGTGTATGTTCTCATAATATTGATGAGAAAGTTTTCTTTTCTTTGTTTTTTACTCCAACTTTCTGTTTTAAAGAGGAAATCTGTTTTTGTCGAAGCTTTTCTTGTGCGTATTTGTCTCTGAACTTGTGATCTTTGTTTTAGCATCAACAACAAGTCATGGGCGCTATTGAAAGAGCCAAGCAGGTCACACCTCCTGAGATGAACTCCATCATACGTGTGAGTTTGTCATTTGTAATGTCCACCAGATGTTGCTTCGTAGCATGCTGGTTAGGTAATTTTGACTGGGGATGGGCCCGTTTTGCTCCCTCATTGATGGAAATTTGTCTGTGAACACTTATTTCTAATTGTCAGGTTTCTATTGGCTGTGTGAACAACATTTACCACATTGTTGTTTTTGTGTCACTTCTGTTTAACCGTATTAATAGCAAGAGAATAAATGATGTGGTGTGGTTTGCTTTCTGCAAATTTGGAGAAATAGAGATATGAAACAGATAAAATGCCACGTTGGGTTTCTTTAGCATAATGATCACCACAGTCCTGCGTGCTTGGAGTTTGTGCTGCAAGTGTGATAACTAATCACGCTAGTTTTATAGTGTTCACACTTCTTTTTTTTACAGATGGTAAACTTATATTATCTAATGTGTTGTTTTTGCAGCAACAGCTTCAGGTGCAACACCTGTCCCAGCTTCAGGGCCTGGCTTTGCCAGTAGCCCCGCTTCCCCTGGGCCTCACCCCACCCACTCTGCCCGCCGTCTCCTCCAGCTCCGGCCTGCTGTCCCTCTCCTCCATCCTGGCCAACTACTCCCACGGCCAGCCCCCGGTAGCGAAGGAGGACAAGGCCAGAGATGTCGCAGAGAGAGCACCTAGAGGGGATGATGGAGACAAGTCAGACTAGTGCAGAAAGAGCGAGGAGGTTTGGAGAGGGATGGTATGGGGTGTAATAAATGTCACAAAAAAAGGAAAGGGTGTCTGGAGGCCTGTCTACTGAGTGTCAATGTAGAAGAGTAATTGCAAGGATGATTAGCAAAAGGACCGAGCTTAAACTTTTGTAAGTGCTGAAGATGAAACTCCTGAATGGCTGAGAGTAAATGTTCTTATTATTTAGTGGTAATAGACTTGGTTCAGGCTTCTAGACTTTAATAGATGTGTGGGGTTTTTAAAAAAAGAAATTTTGTTCAAGCCACTGTTGTTAGGCTTAAATCAAGATAAATGTTTTCCCATTTGGAGAGAGAGCTAAGAAGGAAACACAATAGCAGTACCCTGGTAGATAACCGTCAGATTTATTTTCTCTTCCATTTTTTGTTATCAGATCTGTTTAGTGTTTATTTCCACGTCCTCTGTAGTCCCTCTGATTGAGTCTCAATGCAGTCTGCCAGTCATAAAAAGCAGTTTTAACAACTCCACTCCGCACATACTGCTTCGCTGTTGCTCACGACTTGCTAAAATGAAATCATCTTTTTCCAAAACGTTAACTGGAGCAGTTTTGTCAGTAATTCCATTAATTTACTCTGTTAAGTGTTATGTTCTTCATTATTCCCAACCGTTGGATGCATTACCAGAGCTGTGTGCGCATTAGTCCCACATAAATCAAGTTGTGTTTTTTTTAATTTCAGAAAGATCGTTGGTTTGTACAAATGGTAAAGTAGCCAACTTGGAAGTTAATATGTAGTAGGTAGGCCTAGCTGCCCCTGTGAGCTCCACATGGGATGTGGACCATTGACAAAAGATCATGGACCCCGCGTCTTTAAATGATAAGAATAGATGCTCTGAAAAACCCCCCAACTCATCTTGTTTTTGTAAACTGAGACAGGTTCTTATAAAACATAAAGATTCCTGTGTGTTAGAGTGAATGTGATTGGAAAGAAGAAAACACTTTAACTTTACTTTTAAGCACCTTTTGTGTTCTCCTTTGACCCCCCCCCCCTTGTTCCTGCCCTTTCCCCCTGCGGGTCCACAAAATTGATCCCAAAATAGGATCTAAATGTTAAAACAGTGTGGTTTTGACATACAGCCAAGCGTTGTGTTTTTATAGGTTAGCAGAGCTTTTTAGTTTTAGCTGAGATTGCGTTAAGTACCACCTTTCTTTTTATCTGTGACTACACAAACCTGACATTCTCAGCATTTTGAAACACGAGCTGTATTCCAACCACATACTTACTGTCTTCATTATACACTATGGGTAGCAAGCTTTTCATGTAGGTAATGTGCAAAAAAATTTAATATGCTGTTTTTGTATTAATGAGAGTGACTTCTTTTAGCTTTGTTACCATCATGGAGATGTGGTGAGATTTTGTTTTCGGCTTTTTCTACCTGTGATCAGCTCCCACGTATAATTTCTTGTTGTTGGACAGTCATTTCCTCCCAGTTTTGTTTGAATTCTGACAAATGTGATTATTGAACAGAGCTGTAATTCACTTTCATTATTATTGTTATTATTATTATTATTATCATTAATAATAATAATAATAATAATAATAATAATAATAATAATAATAATAATAATAATAATAATAAAGATGAGCAGTATAGCTTTAAATAGCTTTATCACCTTTAATATAAATAAGGATGTTATGTACAAATAGCAATTAACCGTTTGACTCATTCATTAATATAGATTATTAAGATATCAAAATGTTATTGTTGAAAGAAGCATGATTAAAATGAATTGGATCTGCAGTGTTAAAGAGCAGCAGTTCAGCTGACCACTTCCAACCAGTCACATGAAGGTCAAACTAAGCATCAGAATGGGGAGGAAAGGTGACCGTGAACGTGGCACGGTTGTTGGTGTCAGATGGGCTAAACTGAGTATTTCCAAAACTGCTGTTCTACTGGGATTTTTCCCAGAGTACTGCGCGTTTACTTTATTCAAACGCCCTCCAGAGAAACCAGATCTCAATCCAATAGAGCATCTTTGGGATGCAGTGGGACGGGACGTTCGTGTCCTGGAAGTGCAGCCGACAAATCTGCAGCAGTTGTGTGGTGCTGTCATGTCGATGTGGATCATAATCTGTGAGCAGAGTTTCCAGCTTTTTGTTAAATCAATGACAAATGTTCTGAAAGCCAAAGGTATTCCAACCTAATACTAGCAAGGTGTACCTAATAAGGTGGCTGGTGAATGTAATTTGAAGTGGCTTACAATTACTATAATATGTTTTAAATGTAGTGTATTGATGTTGGAAACATCAGGAGGCATTCTTTGGTAGTTTAGCCATGTTAGACTAATTTAGACTAAAAGTTGATCAGTGTTAAACGATAACAGTAAAATGAATCTTTAGTAAATACGATCCAGGCTACACACACTCAACAACTCCAAACCTGCTAGTTTAGTAGTGCAGGTTCAGGCCTAGAGGTAAAAGCAGACTGTTGGATTTTTATGTTGTTATATCTGAAAAGGAGCAGCTGCTCACAGATGTTTTCAACTTTAACCGATAATAATAGGGAAATGATTCAAGTGACATCTAAGAAAATGAAGATGACCGTTTTCGAAAATGCTACCCAGGAGGTTATATGCGTGTTGATAATTTCCCATTTTTGTGATCTTATATATGAAAACTTGTATGCATAATGTTTGCAGTTGGTATGTGGTATAAAACTGGTGAACAGCTCAAGTTTATGGCTGAGAAATGTTCATTTTTTAGGCAGCAGAGGGCAGCAGTGCTCTTCCAGTGATTTATTATGGGTTATAAAAAGCATGGAAACAGCCCCAGGTTTATCTGTCTTATTCAGTCACATTATTGCTTTCCTCTCTTTTCGTTTTTATGATTGTATGCTGACCACAGGTACACTGCAGGTGTGTCAGCTGTCCCCCCCCCCCCCCCCCCCCCCCCCCTGTAATGTGAGTGCTTTCCAGAGCTTTGATAACCCAGTTTTTAATGTCCAAGCATAACCCTTTTCCCTCTGTTTTAATTTGAAAAGCACTTAAGTTGTGGCTCACTGCTCCTTTTGTTTTTCTTCTTCCTGTCTGTGCAAGTGTTGGGGAGCTGGAGTATCTCCCTCCCTGGAGATCTGACTTCAATATATCGAGTGCGAGAACAGATCATTTAATCATTAGCACTCTTTATACTGACGTCAGCCTCTGTAGAAATCCTCCCTTGGCAAAACTCAGACATGTGAATGGTATGTGTGTTTGTTTTGCTGTGAAGGGCCAATTTGTATACATATGAATATATCAATATACATATTTTTTAAAGCATTTTTGTATGTTTCAAAGCTGCTTTTTAATGTGTGTGTATCATGGAGGACTTCGTTGTTGTACGCGTGCATTACAAGCCTACGCTACGAGAGGCACAATGTTGTATATCCTGTCTTTTTTTTTTCTCCTGTTTTCTCTTCCATTCATTCTCTCTCAGTAGGCTGTAACACTTAACTTTGTTTTCTAGATTTGTAAATGTTTTATCCTTTTTTTTTCTGTGCAAATGAAAAACTGTTAAATGTGTCTACAAACACAGTCTCATTTCAAAATACCCGGGACAAAAAAAAAAAAAAAAAAAAAGATGTAAACAAGCAACTGTGTACTCTGAGAATGAATCAACCTTTTAGCAGTAAGGAAGCGTCTCTGGTGCCTTACAAATAAAAGATGTGATTGAGAGTGGTCATTTTTCTTCTGGTGGCAACGCACATGGGAAGGGAAAAACAGTAAAGGGCATCGCTGTCGTTATCGCGCTGATACATATTAAGTCAGCGCTGAAATGAAACATTTGTGTTTTGCTTGATAGTCAACTCCTCTGCAGCTTGATGGAATAGTTGAGGCATGAGTGTTTTGTACTCCCAGTCCACTGAGATACATGTTGGCGTTTGGAGGAGTGACTCAACTAAAAATTCCTCTTGGATGAGTCGAGGTATAACTGACCAGGTCAGATTGAAGCTGGTCTAATCAATATTTCTCATGTGAAAAGTTGTTCAGTGCTGTTAGTCTGATCCTCCTTATTTGAAGAAAAAAAACAAAACAAATTATAGTTTTGTGGGGAAAAGTTTTCACAGGACACCCCATCATTCAATAGCTTTTATACCATCTTTTAGCAGCAAACCTGGCTCGGGGTCGTTCACGACCCAATTTCAGCTAAACTTTAGTTGTTGGACATATGGCCTCTTAACTCTAGAATACTTTGGTGTACAGAGTAGTTCAACAAGCCCAGATCATAGGCCTCCACCACCATGCTTGACAGTTTGTACTCTGCATTCTGGTAGAAGACTTTGGTATCCCTTTTCCAGACATTGTTCCAGAAGTCTTGTGGTTTCTTCAGATGCAGTTTTGCAAACCTAAGCTGTGTTGCCATGTTTCTCCTGGCAACCCTTTTAAACAAGTAAACTTTGTCTTACTGCCCAAATCATCACCCATTATTACCATGAACGTTAACATTTCCCATCCTAGGCCTATTGATATTGATTTTTAAATTAATTTTTGTCAGTTTCTCTTGGGATGAATTTGTGGGAACATCTGCTTCTGGGAAGATTGCGGCAGAACCTGAATGGTCCAGACGAGCAAGCTGCTGAAACTTCTTGCCTAGCAGACTAAGTGAGCATTTTCCCTGAAGTTAAAATGAATTAAACAGTTGCTGGTTGTATAAAAGAGTGAATGCTTCAATTACAATAGACTTGAAATCCATAAAACAAGAGTCCTTTGACCTCAGGAAATCACATGATAGGGTGGGGCTAGGTTTCACAATGAGTTCATCTGAAACCTTGGCTGATGGTGACCTACACCCGTTTTCACACCTTGGCTCGTGTGATTAGGTAGAGGATCAATAGGGGGTCCATGTCCCTCTTGGGGGGGGGACACTCCCATAGGGCTTAAATCTGGGACTCTTCACCATTTGACCATAGAACTGAAGAAGCTTCTCAGATGAGAAGTGAAATGTCTTCAAACAACTTAAAGAAGTCCAGATGCTTTTTTTCTTTTCTTTCCAGGCTACTTAGACAATGTATTAGAAAGTTAATCTGCAACATCTCTATCCAGACTTAGTACCCCTGTAGCTGTAGTTGAGCCATTTCTGAGTTTGATGCCAAACAACTGATTTTTGTTTCTAATCAGAATCCCCCAAATCTCTTTAAAGCAGCATTTGAGTGAACAAGTAGATTTAGCATATCATGTATCCTAACCAGTCTCTGGAGAAATATTTGTGGATTTTTAATTACTGTGTGCACCATAAATCTAATTGACAGTGTACTGGCATGGATGTGAAATCATAACGGCTCAGCCGGGATAATGAAATCAAAACTATCAGACTACCTTCTAAGGGCAAGTGGGAACCTTTTGTACAATTTAGCTGAAATGACGCTAAACATGGTTTTGTAATAAAGATTCTTTGCTTATGACAATTTATGAATAATTGCTAACAAAGGGGGGGAAAAAAAACCAAACAACTTCCTGTTTCATGCACTGGCTCACCAGCTTCATTCCTCTGGTAGAAAGGGCCGTGAGCTGCAGGTTCTGACTTGAACCCTGCGTCACTGTGTTGTACAGAGCTTTCGCTAAGAATGCAGCAGAGAATAGCTCAATGGAAATAACTAAAAAGAAGGCATTCTCTCTGTGGGAATCCACACAAAAGACTGCTTTGCATGCCTTTCTTCATGCTGATAAAATAATCACACACGGAAGGTGAATATGCTGGCAAGTATTTATGGAAAACTGTAAAACACCCTGAAGGCTAAAGGAAGTGATTACATTATGTACAATTTCACAATAGGTTACACACGTTGTTATAAATGGGGAAGGAAAAGGTCCATGAAGGTGTATTTACTTTGTATCAAAAGAGGAAGGTTATAGGATGAAGATGCCTCAGGAACATCTCCATTTGTCCTTGGCCGTCCCTTTCAAGTCTGAGAAAAAGTGACAGAAGGAACAATATCGCCATAACTTCAGTAAATTAGTGGTCATACATTCTTGAAAAAAAACCAACAATTGCACAATTTATTAGATATAGAAGTTTTTTTTTTAAAAAGTGTTAGTGCTACAAATCATCCTGTATGTATATTATGTCAGTGGAAGCACTCCATAATTACACTTGCATATCTTTTAAAGACAATAAAGAGATGTCTGTAGAAAAAAACAAACAACAAAACTAATGGGTGTCACAAAGAGGCAGTCGAGCTCGAGAGTAGGTAAAACATCAGTCTTATCAGACTGTAGCAAAGTGTATAACATTATTCAGCCTCCAAGGATCGGTTCTTCCATTCAAGGGCAGAACAAAATCTTTGGAATTGAAATCGGACCGATCTCTTCAACTGTCAGTCACTCTTAAGTTTGACTCACAGCATCAATTTCTCAGACAAATCTGAATCTTTCTGCAAGAAATAATTATGAAAATTTTAAAAAAATGAACATAATGAAAAAAAAAAAACTCACAAAACCCACTCATTATAAAACATAAAAAAACAACTCAATCACATCTTTGCAGCATATAAACACAAACTTATAGAGGCCCTGGAGTTTTCATAGCTGTGAAAGTGTTAGGGAGATCTAATAGCAGACTGTGCTCTGCTGCTTTCGTTGTTTTTTCTTCTGTGCACGTTCTTTGATAACGGAGCTGCTGTTATAGAGTGCGAGGGCCGGGCTGGTGAGAGTAGCTGTAGGGTGGTGCGCTCATACTGATCCGCTGTAGCTGTGATTTCTGTGTTCTGAATCTGAAGGCCTCGGTTTACATTCGAGTTGTTCAGTCTCTGGTGTTTGCGGCTCAGAAACTGGAGGGCGCTGCTTGAAGAAATCGGACACATATCGGACCTTTGGGAACAAACACAGTAACAATTATAGGCTATTACGTTGCTTAATAGAAGCGTTAGCATTGCTTACAGCTGACGCTACTGCTTTACACTGTAAATGAATAGTTCAGCAGTCGGTCTAAATTATACCTTTTAGATGTTGGGATTCAGCTTCATATTATACCACAGAGTAAAGTCACAAACACACAATTAACAGTTATAGCCTCAAAACGCCAATAGGTGTTCTTTGCAATAGCCAGGTGCTATTCCCAAGTACAGAGGCTCCTCCAAATGTAAGTCACATTTATGGCATGAACCATTGTCATTTGCAGCCCATCCCATATGGAAAAGAAATAGTAAAAACATATGATTTACTCATGAAAGTGGCCACTTTCTCATTACTTTCATATATTTTTTTAGTAAGTATACAAAACATACAAGTTTCATTATATAATTTTTCAAGGGATCTTATGTGTTTTCACTCTTGTATGCTTTTCATACAAGTTTCATACAAGACAGATAAAAACTTTATAAGATTTATATATATCTTTTCCATATGGGATTCTTACAGGGATGATCATGATGTTGTGCAAGCTAAGCTACTTGAACTTTTTCCAGGGTACATCTTTAATGGCTTTAAAAAAGTCATTAAAGATGGTTGCAGAAATTTAATTTTAGTTTGGATTTTTTTCCCCCTTGGTTCTACAATGTCTTAACAAGGTCAAGAGCTCTCGCCTCTCCCTGGCAATCACGATTAACTGCAAGTGGTTGTTCCTCTCTGCCATCATTAAAAGGCTCTGCTGCATTCAGCTGCATTCATTGGCCCAGGGGTAGACAACTCCAGGCCTCGAGTGTCCTGCAGGTTTTAGATGTGTCCTTGATCCAGCACAGCTGATTTAAATTGCTAAATTACCTCCTCAACATGTCTTAAAGTTCTCCAGAGGCCTGATAATGAACTAATCATTTGATTCAGGTGTGTTGATCCAGGGTGAGATCTAAAACCTGCAGGACACTGGCAATCGAGGCCTGGAGTTCGACACCCCTGGATTGGACTGATCAATACTCAGAACAGTGGGAAAGTCCAAGAAACTCAAGAAGTGGGTCCCACTACTTCTTTGC